TCGAAATCAGATACAGACAACATGGCCCTTTTTTTTCAGGGACATTCTCAAAGAAAACCTTTATCTTTGAATTGTGATTTTAAATCTTATCCAGTTCTCTCTCATTTTGGTTCCACGGCCAGCACTCATGGCGATGGTCATTAGTCATTTGACAGAATATCGCCATATGATCCCGTCGTAAAAATTAAGTGTTGTTTAAACCGGTCGCTTGTTTTTTTTTTTTTTTTAGAAATTTCGGTTTCCTGAGAAATAAAATCTTCAATATTTCCCATGATAGTTTATGCTAAGCCGGAAATGTGAACATTCTGGAATCTGCAGAGAATTATTTGAAACGTATTTTGAAAAGTCGTAAAACAAGGAAATTTTTTGCTGTTTGAAATAAATTTTAAAAACGCAAGTTGTTACCGGGAAAAATCATTGTTTCTAAATAGCAGGCCGCTATGCTTGAGGGTGGGTGTCATGTCTCCGAGGTCGGGGAAAATAATTAATTGATGAATAGTTAATGAGTTTTGAGGTGCGTTAGAGGTCGGACGAAATACATATAAACCGAACGCTTAGCTGAAGCCAGCAGTTGAAGCGAGAAACGCAGACGAGACCTAACAGCGACGGAAGAGGAGCTGCTGAACCCCCTACGTGACCTGCTGCTGACAGAAGTCCCGACCTAATTCCCTGTGTATTTTTTATCCCGCTACAAGTTTTAGAAGAAAATTGGAATGAAAACAATGATGGCACCTGGACTATATCCATCATAAAAATTATGGATGTGGAATTAGTAAATTAGTAAAGACCTGTATGTCACATGTAATGCAAAGTAAAATTACGAGAAAATAATGACATAGTCAAAAAGTTGACATTCCACACTACACCAAACAAAAGATTAGAACGGAAACCCTCATCAGTACTGGAAAGAGCGATAGCAATTAATAAACTTGAGAAAACTATTTTCCTGAAAAATTGTTTTTATAGTAAGATTTATGAAAGACTTTATAAATTTCAACCAGCAGCTAAACAAACCACTTAGTCAATGAATGTCGAATATTTCTTTATAAGGAAACGGCTAATATACCTATTACTATTACCAAATATGTATATATATATATGGTAATAGTAATGGGTATATATATATATATATAAGCTTCGGACTTGGTTGGATTATTTCTTTTATATAATTTAAGTGCCTTCGATTGTCTAGATTCAGATAGTGTAGGATTGTATAGAGATGATGGATTATTAGTTGTTAAAAACTCGACTAAAATTAAGGTAGACCGTATTAGGAAAATGATCTATAGGGTATTTAAGGATTTAGGTCTTAAAACAATAGTTACTACTAATGTTAGGCAAGTGGATTTTCTAGATGTCACCCTAGATCTTGCTAACAACATTTTCCAACCATATGTAAAGGTTAATTCCAACCCATTATACGTGCATCCTAATTCCAACCATCCCCCTTCAGTTATCAAACATATACCCTCTTCCATTGAATTTAGAATTAGCGCTAACTCTTATAAGGAGGTTTTCAATAAACATAGGGATTTTTATAATTCTGCACTAAAAAATATTGGATACAAAAATACCACTATTCAATATAAAAACCCTGTTAATTGCAACCATAATAAGAAAAGATCTAGAAAGATTATTTGGTTCACTCCCCCTTTCAATATAATGGTTAAAACTAAATTAGGGCGTATATTTCTAAACCTCATCAAAAAACATTTCCCCAACCCTGAAACTAACCCACTCAGTAAAATATTTAATCCTAATACCCTTAAATTAAGCTATAGTTGTGCTGATAACCTGGAGAAGATAATTAAAAAACATAACAACATAGTCTTTAACAAGTATAGGAATTCAAAAGGCTTGACTAATCAACAGGTTACTAACTGCAATACTAAATATAAGAATACAAATAACAACTTATGTAATTGTAGGAATCCGAATAATTGTCCACTACAAACTAACTGTGGGATTACTTCTGTAGTCTATCTTGGTACTATTTCAACAATTGAAAATCCAAATATAAAGAAGTTTTACATTGGTTCTACCATGAAAACATTCAAGGAACGCTGGCGGGGGCATATGCGTATTATATATATATATATATATATATAATTATTTTTATAAAAAATTATAACATAAGTATGTTATAAAATCACTACAAAAAAATAGCCATTTGGTTTCAACACACTGTGTCTTATCAAGTGATGATCTTGAAAAAGAAAATAAATGGTTTTAAAAGTTTCAGATTAATTAACGATCCTACACTAGGGGAAACATTGTTACAAAAGCTAGAATAACCAATCAAAAACGAAGTATAGAAAGATTCAAAAAGCTTGACAACGAAATCATGTTATAATAGCTATTCAGATCTTTAAATACGTAATATTAAAAATAATTTATACTAACCAATAATTGTAAAATTATATGATAAAATTTAATATTAAAATTAAAAACTGGCAATTTTAAAATCCAAATTTAATCACTATTAAGTTTCAAAACTACAAAATTATTGAGAAAAGAAAGAATATATATGTTTATTCAATTCATTTCTTCATTGAAATTATAGTACGGCGTCCAACTCAGCTACGTTTATATGCTGGACATTCTTTTCGGGGCGCAGCCAGCATGCATCCTCAACTATGTCATCGTTTATCACGAGGGACACTCCAGTTACAAAGGGGCTCATATCGACCCATAATTCAAACTCATGTCCGTTGTCACACCACTTGCCTCACACAGGACTGTCTTGGAGTACTCTGATAATGACATCGATAATCATGTTGTTTGGAGGGGGGGGAGTGCGTCTGTTATATTATCATCCCAGTCGGAGGTAACCTCAGTTGCTCTGCATTTGATGAAGGTGATCGAAATACGGAGCCAGCCACACACAAGAAAGTGTCTTACTAATTTTGCGCATTGCGCATTTGTGACTTTTATCAATCCCGATAGTTTTTCATTAGGACGGGGGGGCGAGTCTTTTGTGATATTTGTGCATTGTGTTTCTTTTTTTTTTCCTTTACTTTTATTCTGCATACAAATTGTATCCTCTAGCCTTTTGGGTTTTTGACTAGTTTTCCTTTTTTTGCTCAATCTTTGCTTTTGAACGCATATAGGACGGGGGCTAAAAATAAATACAATATTGTAGCTAAATATACAAATTAGAGACCTGTTTTTTGATCTTGTAAATTGTTTTTAACATCAACTCTTTTTTCCTTTTTGATTATATTGAAATCTTTTTATAGTATTTTTCTTTTAAAAAAAAAATCACAATTCTTTTTATTCTTTTTTTCTTTTGTTTTCTTATTTATTAAGAGGAAAGACCAAAGTTACAATTTTTTTTAAAATTTTCCTTTTTTTTCACAATTCTTTTTGATTAAAAAAACCTTTTTCTCTTTTCTTTAGATACTTTTATCTTTTTTTTTTTTTTTTTTCACAATTTTTTAATTGTCTTTTCTTTCTATTTTCTTTAATTATAAATATGTTTTTTATTAAAATCTTTTTTTTTATATTTATTCTTTTTTCTTTTTGTATCGTTTTTCTAATCAGAAAAAAATTTTGTGTTTATAATCGGGCTGTAATTTCAAAGTACGGAAGACCAACAATTAAGTTGCTTTTCAAATTTGTTCTTTTTTATGTTCAAATTTTCTTCAAATTAATTTGATTTTTTCAATTTCAACTTAAAATTTTATCAGTATCAGTATCATGCTATATAATGTATATCTTATTTTTATCATTTTATTTTTTCATAAATAAATATCAAAATTTCCATGCATATTGTTCCATTGCTAAATAGTAACATAACATAATAATAAACAAAGGGATTTACTTTCAGTTTGTCAGTCTATAAACTGACAACTTTTCTTTCTTTATTCAACTTTTTTTTTCCTTTTATTCAAGATTTGTTTTTTTTCTTAACAGTCAATTTCTTCCAATATTTATCTCCTTTTCTTCAGAATTCTTTTTTTTTCTCTTTTCTTTTTTTTCTTTTCTTCTCAATACTTTTTTTTCTTCTTTTTTCTTCAAAATTCTTTTTTCTTTTCTTTTCTTTTTTTTTTTTAGATAAACAAAAAATTCTTTTTTTTTTTTTCTTTTTAGATTTTTTCATTTTCTTCTTTTCTTCACAATTCTTTTTTCTTTTTCTCTTTTTTCTTTAGATACTTTTATCTTCTTTTCTTCACAATTTTTTTTCTTTTTCTCTTTTTTCTTTAGATACATTTATCTTTTTTTTCTTCTAATTTTTTTTTTTTTTCTCTTTTTCTTTAGATACTTTTATCTTCTTTTCTTCAAATTCTTTTTTCTTTTCTCTTTTTTCTTTATACATTTATCTTCTTTTCTTCACAATTCTTTTTCTTTTCTCTTTTTTCTTTAGATACATTTATTTCTTTTCTTCAAAATTTTTTTTTTTTTCTCTTTTTTCCTTTAGATACTTTTTTATCTTCTTTTTTTCAAATTCTTTTTTCTTTTTTTCTTTTTTTCTTTAGATACATTTATCTTCTTTTCTTCAAATTCTTTTTGCTTTTCTCTTTTTTTTCTTTAGATACATTTATCTTCTTTTCTTCAAATTCTTTTTTTTTTTTTTTTCTTTTTTTCTTCAATTTTTTTTTTATTTTCTTTTTTCTTTTAGATAATTTATCTTTTTTTTCTTTTTCTCTTTTTTCTTTAGATACATTTATCTTCTTTTCTTCAAAATTCTTTTTTTCTTTTTCTCTTTTTTCTTTAGATACATTTATCTTCTTTTCTTCAAAATTCTTTTTTTTTTTCTCTTTTTTCTTTAGATACATTTATCTTCTTTTCTTCTTTTTTTTTCTTTCTCTTTTTCTTTAATATTCTTTTTTCTTCTTTTTTTCTTTTTCTCTTTTTTTTTTAGATACTTTTTTTCTTCATCTTCTTTTCTTCCTTTACATTTATCTTCTTTTCTTCAAAATTCTTTTTCTTTTTCTCTTTTTCTTTAGATACTTTTCTTCTTTTCTTTAATTCTTTTTTTTTAATTTCTTTTTCTTTAGATACTTTTTTCTTCTTTTTTCTTTTCTCTTTTTTCTTTAGATAATTCTTTTTTTTTTCTTTTTCTTTTTCTCTTTTTCTTTAGATACATTTATCTTCTTTCTTCAAATTCTTTTTTCTTTTTCTTTTTTTCTTTAACAATTTATTTTTTCTTTTTTTCTTTTTCTCTTTTTTCTTTAGATACATTTATCTTCTTTTCTTCACAATTTTTTATTTGCTTTTTCTCTTTTTTCTTTAGATACATTTATCTTTTTTCTTCACAATTCTTTTTTCTTTTTTTTTTTTTCTTTAGATACATTTATCTTCTTTTCTTCACAATTCTTTTTCTTTTTCTTTTTTCTTTTTTTCTTTTTTCTTTAGATACATTTATCTTCTTTTCTTCACAATTCTTTTTTCGTTTTTTCTTTTTTCTTTAGATACATTTATCTTCTTTTCTTCACAATTCTTTTTTCTTTTTCTCTTTTTTCTTTAGATACATTTATCTTCTTTTCTTCACAATTCTTTTTCTTTTCTTTTTCTTTAGATACATTTATCTTCTTTTCTTCACAATTCTTTTTTGCTTTTTCTTTTTCTTTAGATACATTTATCTTCTTTTCTTCACAATTCTTTTCTTTTCTTTTTTTCTTTAGAATTTTATCTTCTTTTCTTCAAAATCCTTTTTTTTTCTTTTTTCTTTAGATACATTTATCTTCTTTTCTTCACAATTCTTTTTTCTTTTTCTCTTTTTTCTTTAGATACATTTATCTTCTTTTCTTCACAATTTTTTATTTGCTTTTTCTCATTTTCTTTAGATACATTTATCTTCTTTTCTTTTTTCTTCACTTTTTTCTTTAGATTCTTTTTTTTCTTTTCTTCACAATTCTTTTTTTTTTTTTCTTTTTTTCTTTATACATTTATTTCTTTTCTTCATTCTTTTTTTTTTCTCTTTTTCTTTAGATACATTTATCTTCTTTTCTTCACAATTCTTTTTTCTTTTTCTTTTTTCTTTAGATTCTTTTTTCTTTTCTTTTTTTCTTTGTCATTTATCTTTTTTTTTTCTTTTTCTTTTTTCTTTTTTTTTTAGATACTTTTCTTCTTTTCTTTTTTTTCTTTTTCTTTTTTTTTTAGATATTTATTTTTTTCTTTTCTTTTTCTTTTTTCTTTTTTCTTTTAGATACATTTATCTTCTTTTTCTTCATTCTTTTTCTTTTTCTCTTTTTTTCTTTAGATACATTTATCTTCTTTTCTTCAAAATTCTTTTTCTTTTTTCTTTTTTTTCTTTAGATACATTTATCTTCTTTTCTTCAAAATTTTTTTTTTTTCTTTTTTTTCTTTTTTTTCTTTAGATACATTTATCTTCTTTTTTTTCAGAATTCTTTTTTTTCTTTTTTTTTTTTTTCTTTAGATACATTTCTTCTTTTCTTCAATTTTTTTTTCTCTTTTTTTAGATACATTTTTTTTTTTTTTTCTTTTTTCTTTTTTTTTCTTTTATTTATCTTCTTTTCTTCACAATTCTTTTTTCTTCTTTTTTTTTCCTTTAGATACATTTATCTTCTTTTCTTCAAAATTCTTTTTTTTCTTTTCTTTTTTCCTTTTTTTCTTTTTCTTCATTTTTTTCTTTTTTTTTTTTCTTTAGATAATTTATCTTTTTTCTTTTCTCTTTTTTTTTTTTTCTTTAGATACATTTATCTTCTTTTCTTCACAATTCTTTTTTCTTTTCTCTTTTTTCTTTATTTTTCTTCTTTTCTTCACAATTTTTTTTTTTTTTTTTTTCTTTAGATACATTTATCTTCTTCTTCAAAATTTTTCTTTTTTTTTTTTTAGATTAATTTATCTTCTTTTCTTTTTTTTTTTTCTTTTTTTAGATACATTTATCTTCTTTTATTCTTACATTTATCTTCTTTTCTTCACAATTCTTTTTTTTTCTTTAACTTTTTTTTTTTTTTTTCTTAGATACATTTATTCTTTTTTTTTCTCTTTTTTCTTTAGATACATTTATCTTCTTTTCTTCACAATTCTTTTTCTTTTCTCTTTTTTTCTTTAGATACATTTATCTTCTTTTCTTCACAATTCTTTTTCTTTTTCTCTTTTTTCTTTAGATACATTTATCTTCTTTTCTTCACAATTCTTTTTTCTTTTTTCTTTTTTTCTTTAGATACATTTATCTTCTTTTCTTCAAATTCTTTTTTTTTTTTTCTTTTTCCTTTAGATACATTTATCTTTTTTTTTCTTTTTCTCTTTTTCCTTTAGATACATTTATCTTCTTTTCTTCAAAATTCTTTTTTTTTTCTCTTTTTCCTTTAGATACATTTATCTTCTTTTCTTCACAATTCTTTTTTCTTTTTCTCTTTTTTCTTTAGATACATTTATCTTCTTTTCTTCACAATTCTTTTTTCTTTTCTTTTTTTTTTCTCTTTTTTTCTTTTTTTTTTTCTTTAGATACATTTATCTTCTTTTTTTCACAATTCTTTTTCTCTTTTCTTCACAATTTTTTCTTTTCTTTTTATTTTTTTTTTCTCTTTTTCTCTTTTTCTTTAGATACATTTATCTTCTTTTCTTTTTTCTTTTTTTCTTTAGATTCATCTTTTTTTTCTTCACAATTCTTTTCTTTTTTCTTCTTTTTCTTTAGATACATTTATCTTCTTTTCTTCACAATTTTTTTTGCTTTTTTCTTTTTTTTTATCTTCTTTCTTCTTCATTCTTTTTTCTTTTTTCTTTTCTTTTACATTTATCTTTTTTCTTTTAAATACATTTATCTTTTTTTTCTTTTAGATTTTTTCTTCACAATTCTTTTTTTTTTTTTTTTCTTTAGATTTTATCTTTTTTCTTCAAAATTTTTTTTTTTTTTTTTTCTTTAGATACATTTATCTTCTTTTCTTTTTTTTCTTTTTTTTCTCTTTTTTTATCTTTTTTCTTCAATTTTTCTTTTTTCTTTTCTTTTTTCTTTTTCTTTTTTTTTTTTTTTTTTTTTTTTAGATACATTTATCTTCTTTTCTCTTTTTTTCTTTTTCTTTTTCTTTTTCTTTTTCTTCTTTTTTTTCTTTAGATATTTTTCTTTTTTTTTTTTTTCTTTTTTCTTTAGATACATTTATCTTCTTTTCTTCAAAATTCTTTTTTCTTCTTTTCTTCTTTTCATTTTTATTCTTTTTCTTCACAATTTTTTTCTTTTTTCTTTTTCTTTAGATACATTTTCTTCTTTTCTTTTTTTTTTCTTTTTCTCTTTTTCTTTAGATACATTTATCTTCTTTTCTTCACAATTTAGATATATTTCTTTTCTTCATCTTTTTTCTTTTTTTTTTTTTTTCTTTTTTTCTTTAGATACATTTATCTTCTTTTCTTCAATTTTATCTTCTTTTCTTCAAAATTTTTTTTTCTTTTTCTTTTTTCTTTATACATTTATCTTTTTTCTTTTCTTTTTCTTTTTCTTTTTTTCTTTAGATACATTTATCTTCTTTTCTTCACAATTCTTTTTTTTTTTTCTTCTTTTAGATACATTTATCTTTTTTCTTCAAAATTCTTTTTTTTTTTCTTTTTTTCTTTTTTCTACATTTATCTTCTTTTCTTCACAATACTTTTTTCTTTTTCTCTTTTTTTCTTTAGATACATTTATCTTTTTTCTTCAAAATTCTTTTTTCTTTTTTTCTTTATTTTTATCTTTTTTCTTCTTCTTTTCTTTTTTCTTTTTTCAAATTCTTTTCTCTTTTTTCTTTAGATACATTTATCTTCTTTTCTTCACTTTTTTCTTTTTCCTTTAGATACATTTATCTTTTTTTTTTTTTTTTTTTTTTTCTTTTTCTTTAGATACATTTATCTTCTTTTTTTTTTTTCTTCACAATTCTTTTTTTTTTTTTCCTTTAGATACATTTTTTCTTTTCTTTTTTCTTTTTAGATACATTTATCTTTTTTCTTCTTTTTTTTTTCTTTAGAATTTTATCTTTTTTCTTTTTTTTTTCTTTAGATACATTTTTCTTTTTTTCTTTTTCTTTTCTTTTCTCTTTTTCTTTAGATACATTTATCTTTTTCTTCACAATTCTTTTTCTTTTTTTTTGTTTAATAATTTATCTTCTTTTTTTTTTTTTTTTTTTTCTTTAGATACATTTTCTTCTTCTTTTCTTCACAATTCTTTTTTTTCTTTTTTTTTTTTCTTTAGATACATTTATCTTCTTTTTCTTCACAATTCATTTCTTTTCTTCATTCTTTTTTTTTTTTCTTTTTTCTTTAGATACATTTATCTTCTTTTTTCTTCAAATTCTTTTTTTTTTTTTTTTTTTTTTATATCTTTTAAAGATCATTTTATCTTCTTTTCTTCCACAATTCTTTTTCTTTTTTCTTTTTCTTTGGATTTTTTTCTTTTCTTTTTCTTTTTCTTTTCTTTTTCCTTTAGATACATTTATCTTTTTCTTCACAATTTTATCTTTTTTTTCTTTTTTTTTTAGATACTCTTTTTTCTTTTTAGATACATTTATCTTCTTTTCTTCACAATTCTTTTTTTTTTCTTTTTTTCCTTTAGATACATTTTTTCTTTTCTTTAGATACATTTATCTTCTTTTCTTCACAATTCTTTTTTTTTTTTTTTTTCTCTTTTTTTCTTTATACATTTATCTTCTTTTCTTCACAATTCTTTTTTTTTTCTTTTTTTTCTTTAGATACTTTTTCTTCTTTTCTTCTGGTTTTTTCTTTTCTCTTTTTCTTTAGATACATTTATCTTCTTTTCTTTACAATTCTTTTTTTGCTTTTTTCTTTTTTCTTTAGATACATTTATCTTCTTTTTCTTCACAATTCTTTTTCTTTTTTTTCTTTTTTTTCTCTTTTTTTTCTTCTGGTTCTTTAGATACATTTATCTTCTTTTCTTCACAATTCTTTTTTTTTTCTTTTTCTTTAGATACATTTATCTTCTTTTTCTTTTTTTTTCTTTTCTTTTTTTTTCTCTTTTTCTTTTCTTTTTTTTTTTCTTCACAATTTTTTTTTTTTTTCTTTTTTTCTTTAGATACATTTTTCTCTTCTTTTTCTTTTTTTTTTCCTTTAGATACATTTATCTTTTTTCTTCACAATTCTTTTTTTTTTTTTTTTTTTCTTTAGATACATTTTCTTTTTCTTTTCTTTTTTTTTTCTTCACAATTTTTTTTTTCTTTTTTCTTCAAATTTTTTTTTTTCTTTTTTTTTTTAGATACATTTATCTTCTTTTTCTTCACAATTCTTTTTTTTTTTTCTTTTTTTTTTAGATACATTTATCTTCTTTTCTTCACAATTCTTTTTCTTTTTTTTTTTTTTTTTCTTTAGATACATTTATCTTCTTTTCTTCAGATACATTTATCTTCTTTTTTCTTCATTCTTTTTTCTTTTTCTCTTTTTCTTTTCTTTAGATACATTTATCTTCTTTTCTTCAAATTTTTTTCTTTTTCTCTTTTTTTTTTAGATATATTTATCTTTTTTCTTCTTTTTTTTTTTTCTCTCTTTTTTTTTTTTCTTTAGATACATTTATCTTCTTTTCTTCACAATTCTTTTTTCTTTTTTCTTTTTCTTTAGATTTTATCTTCTTTTCTTCACAATTCTTTTTTTTTTTTTTTTTTTTATCTTTTAGATACATATTTAATTTTTCTTTTCATTTTTCTTTATCTTCTTTTTCTTCACTTCTTTTCTTCACTTTAATTCTTTTTCTTTTTTTCTTTTTTTTTTTTTCTTTTTTTTTCTTTAGATACATTTATCTTCTTTCTTCCACATTTTTTTTCTTTTTCTTTTTCTTTATTTTCTTTTCTTCAAAATTCTTTTTTCTTTTTTTCTTTTTTTTTATTTTTTTCTTCAAGAATTCTTTTTTCTTTTTCTTTTTTTTCTTTAGATACATTTTTTTTTTTTTTCTTTTTCTTCTCTTTTTTTGTTTTTCTCTTTTCCTTTATACATTTTTTTTTCTTTTTTTCTTTTTTTTTTTCTTTCATTTTTCTTCTTTTTTCTAAATTCTTTTTTTTTTCTCTTTTTCTTTAGATACATTTATCTTCTTTTCTTCACAATTCTTTTTTCTTTTTTTCTTTATCTTTTTCAAAATTCTTTTTCTTTTTCTTTAGATACTTTTATCTTCTTTTTTTTTTTCTTTAAAATTTTTTTTTTTTCTTTTTCTTTTTTTTTTTTTAGATAAATTTATCTTCTTTCTTCATTTATCTTCTTTTTCTTTTCTTCTTTTTTTTTTCTTTAGATACTTTTTTTTCTTTTTTTAGATACATTTATCTTCTTTTCTTTACAATTTTTTTTTCTTTTCTTTTTTTCTTTAGATACATTTATTTCTTTTCTTTAACAATTCTTTTTTTTTTTTTCTCTTTTTTTCTTTAGATACATTTATCTTCTTTTCTTTTTTTCTTTTTCTCTTTTTTTTTCTTTAATTCTTTTTTCTTTTCTTCTTTTTTTTTCTTTTTTTTTAGATACTTTTATCTTTTTTCTTTTCTTCAAAATCTTCTTTTTCTTTTTCTCTTTTTCCTTTAGATACATTTATCTTCTTTTCTTCACAATTCTTTTTTTTTCTTTTTTTCTTCTTTTCTTCAAATTCTTTTTTCTTTTCTTCTTTTCTTTTCTTTTTTCTTTTTTTCTTTAGATACATTTATCTTCTTTTCTTCACAATTCTTTTTCTTTTCTCTTTTTTCTTTAGATACATTTTTCTTCTTCTTTTTTTTTTTTTTTTTTCTTTACAATTCTTTTTTTCTTTTTCTCTTTTTTTCTTTAGATACATTTATCTTTTCTTCTTTTCTTTTCACAATTCTTTTTCTTTTTTCTTTTTTTTTTAGATACATTTATCTTCTTTTCTTCACAATTCTTTTTTGCTTTTTCTCTTTTTCTTTTACATTTATCTTTTTTTCTTTTTTTTTTCTTTTTCTTTTTTTCTTCATACATTTATTTTTCTTCTTTTCTTCACAATTCTTCTTTTCTTCTTTTTTTTCTTTTTCTTTTCTCTTTTCTTTAGATACATTTATCTTCTTTTCTTCACAATTTTTTCTTTGCTTTTCTTTTTTTCTTTAGATTTTATCTTTTTTCTTTTTTCTTTTTCTTTTTTTTTTTTTTTTTTTTCTTTTTCTCTTTTTTCTTTAGATACATTTATCTTTTTTTTTTTCTTTTCTCTTTTTTTTTAATTCTTTTTTTTCTTTTTCTCTTTTTTCTTTAGATACATTTATCTTCTTTCTTCAAAATTCTTTTTTTCTTTTTTTTTCTTTTTTTTTTCTTTAGATACATTTATCTTCTTTTCTTTTTTCTTAAAATTCTTTTTTCTTGCTTTTCTTTTTTTTTTTAGATACATTTATCTATCTTCTTTTTTCTTCACAATTCTTTTTCTTCTTTTCTTCACAATTCTTTTTTTTCTTTCTCTTTTCTCTTTTTTTTTTTTCTTTAGATACATTTATCTTCTTTTTCTTCACAATTCTTTTTCTTTTTTCTTTTTTTCTTTTTATCTTTTTTTTCTTTTTCTTTTCTTCAAAATCCTTTTTTTCTTTTTCTTTTCTCTTTTTTCGTTTTTCTTTTTCTTTAGATACATTTATCTTCTTTTCTTCACAATTTTTTTTTCTTTTCTCTTTTTCCTTTAGATACATTTTATCTTTTTTTTTTCTTCACAATTTTTTTCTTTTTCTCTTTTTCTTTTTTTCTTTTTCTTTTTCTTTGATACATTTATCTTCTTTTTTCTTCACAATTCTTTTTTCTTTTCTCTTTTTTTCCTTTTCTCTTTTTTCCTTTAGATACATTTATCTTTTTTTCTTCACAATTCTTTTTCTTTTTTTTTTTGATACTTTTTTTTTTTTTTAGATACATTTATCTTCTTTTCTTCACAATTCTTTTTTTTTTTCTCTTTTTTCTTTTTTCTTCCAAATTCTTTTTTTTTTCTTTTTTCTTTAGATACATTTATCTTTTTTTTCTTCTTTTTTTTTTTCTTCATTCTTTTCTTTTTCTTTTTTCTTTAGATACATTTATCTTCTTTTCTTCACAATTCTTTTTTCTTTTTTTTATCTTCTTTTTTCTTTAGATACATTTATCTTCTTTTCTTTTTTCACATTTTTTTTTTCTTTTTTTCTTTTTTTTTTTTTTTTTTTTTTCTTCAATTCTTTTTTTTTTTCTTTTTCTTTTAGATACATTTATCTTCTTTTCTTCAAATTCTTTTTCTTTTTTCTTTTTTCTTTTAGATACATTTATCTTCTTTTCTTCAAATTTTTTTTCTTTTTTAGATACTTTTTTTTTTCTTCTTTAGATACATTTTATCTTCTTTTCTTCACAATTCTTTTTTTTTTTTTTCTTCTCTTTTTTTTTTTCTCTTTTTCTTTAGATACATTTATCTTCTTTCTTCTTCTTCTTTTTTCTTCTTTTTTTTTCTTTTCTCTTTTTTCTTTAGATACATTTATCTTCTTTCAAAATTTTTTCTTTTTTTCTTTTTTTTTATCTTCTTTTTTCAATTTCTTTTTTTTCTTTTTCTCTTTTTTCTTTAGATACATTTATCTTCTTTTCTTCACAATTCTTTTTTCTTTTCTCTTTTTTCTTTAGATACATTTATCTTCTTTTCTTCACAATTCTTTTTTCGTTTTTTCTTTTTTCTTTCTTTTTTCTTTTTTCTTCAAAATTCTTTTTTTTTTTCTCTTTTTCTTTTAGATACATTTATCTTCTTTTCTTCACAATTTTTTTTTTTTTTTTTCTCATTTTCTTTTTTTTTTCTTTTTCTTTTAGATACATTTATCTTCTTTTTTCTTTTTCTTTTTTTCTTTAGATACAATTCTTTTTTCACAATTTTTCTCCT